ACCGCAAAGCCGGCCAGCCCAGCGCCGCCCCCACCCTCAGCGCGGCCCAGCCCGGTTTCTTAAAGCGGCAGCCGGCCGGAGAACCCGCGGCAGCCGAGTGGGGAGCCCGGCCCGCGCCTGCCTCCAGCGCCGCCTCTGGCCCCGCTGGATCCTCAGGGCAAGGCGCGGGGCTCCGCGCGCTTGCTGCTCCGGCTGCCGCCCCCCAACGACGCCCGGGGGCAGGAAGGAGGAGTCCCCGAGCAGCGTCTGGAAGAAAGCTCGCGTAGGCTGGCTGCGGGTTGTTCTCAGCACAGCGCGGGGTGGTCCCGGGGAACGGGGCTTATTCAACCAACGATGGCTAAACCAGGGCTTAGGGGACCTGCGAAGGGGTGGCGGTCTCCCCCTCTGAAAGTTTCCTCAAAGCTGGAAAGGGGTGGTACCTGCCCACCCAGGGTGAGGCACCGGTTAAAACGCTCAGTTAAAAGCCAATTAGCCATGAGTAGGTAATGGAGCCTCCATGTGCAGGGCCAGGATGCCCCAGTATATCAGGCCCCGGGGGACACATCCGATCTTGTGTCCAGAGGTTTTCGGTGGGCTGCTGCTGGAATCCAGTTTCCAGATGTTGCAGCTTCTTTTCCTGGGGGAGGGGGCTCTGCAGAAGAACCAAGAACATCTCCCGGCAAGGGCCTGGGAGTTTCCATTCCTGGCCCATTTTCCCTCCAACGTGGGCCAGGAGAGGGGAGAGGAGGAGAAGTGAAGGAAAAGGGTTCTTTTCTGGGTTCACAGGCGGAGTCCTGGCAGAAGAGTTGGGACTTCAATTCCCACAATTCCTTCCGAGCATGCGGTGAGCTGCTGGGAACTGTAAGACGGCCCCCGGAGGCCCTCCCCTTCCTCCTCCCTTGGATTACAGTCAAGGGGTCTCATCTGGGCTCGCGGCTTCCTGGCAGCAAAGGTGCCGAGCCCTTGAAGAAGACGCCAGGCTTCCGGGCAGGGGGGCCCTTTAATTTTCCAGGCTGCGTCGCCAGCTGGTCCAGCGGCATGAAAAAGGTGCCGGAATGACCGTGTGGCTGTGTGCGCACGACCCGCTTCAGCGATTCTTCTCACTGCATCCTCACAGCACGTCAGATGTGTGGTGTGCGTGCAACAGGGGGATGCTCTGGAAAACAGGAACCCCTCTCCCCCGTGCCTTCGCGTTGTGGGTTACCCATCACACATACACACACACAGACACAGACTGAAGTTACTCCTTTAAAAACAAAGGTGGGGATCTTTGAATCACTTTTAAAAACAGGGTCCAAGAGCTCCTCTTGGAGGAGAAACATCAGAGTTGCAGACCTTTGTTTAAAAGAAAAAAAAGGTTTTTTTCAGTGCCAGGAAGAAAAAAAAAAGGTCCTCCATTGGTTCCACAACCCGAGCCACTTCCAGCACTGAATTTGGCTTTTTTGGGCTTGTGCAAAGCACAAGGGGATGTTGTGTGAACAGGGCTGCTGGGATCAACCAGGACACCACACCTGTGTCTCAAGCCCGCTGGCCGTGACAGACTACAGCTTCCATTATCCCCACCCAGCACGGCTAGATCAGATCAAATCAAATCTTTATTACGGTCAAAGACCAGCATCAGGAGGGTAGGGTACAGTCAATTTAAGAAGCATAGAAAATACATCAGAAAAATAATAACAATAAAAAGCTAAAAGATATAAAATAGAAAGCATACATCTAAAAGGAACCTAAAAGAAAACTTAGAAGACAAGACCTAAAAGAATCGAAAAGGAGGGGTAGGAGCGTCAGATGGGTGGTTAGCATTTGGCAGACTATATCTATTAAATTACAGAGCACTCTAGTATGACAAACTAGATGCTCATTTAGGCTCGTTTATGGCACAGGTCATCCTCTGGCGAATTTTAATCGCTGCTGTGCAGAACTCGTTCTGTGTTGGAGGGTTGGTATCCGAAAGCAGCAGGGAGGGGTGGGCAAAGCGGCTTCAGGAACCAGAAGAACCCAGCGCGGGGGGCGGGGGGAGTCAGCAAAACTTAAGACTTTTGTGGAACCAAAACTCAGCTGCTGGCGCAACCAGAGAGGGCTGCTCTGTGCCCCAGATGGCTTGTGCCAAAGCCAGGCCTGCAGCTGGCACTGAGCTGAACACCACCGCTCAGCTTCCCTTCTGCCTGCACGCCCCTCGTCAAGCTGGGGTGACTGCTTACGCCTGATTTGGGGTCACGGAGTTTCATAGGCAAATGGCCCTCTTCTTGGAAAGGAAACTCTGGGGGAGTTTCTGTATTCACACCACCAAAGCTCTTCCTGCAGAACGGTCTCAGGCGTCTAAGCAGCCTGGATGCTCCAGATGTGGTTTGGGGGACGAGAGAGAGAGACACGCTTCCAGCAATACAGCTGTCTGAGTCTGACCAAGGTGAGAACAGCATCAGTCAGTGACAAGTTTCTTTTGATCAGCACGGGAAACCGCAGCTGGCGTTCTGCCCCAGCTCTCTTTTCAGAAGAGGAACCGCTTTTTGAAAGAAGGAGCTCTTCTCCAAGGCAAGACCAAGGTGGCACGGTAAGTCAGCATGGCATTTATGGCGGGGACTGCCAAGGGGGCCAGGGCACGCGAGACGAAGGTGGGACAGAATGAAAAGTGCTGTAGATGTTTACTGGTGTGATGGAGGCGGCCGCAGCTTTTTAAAGAAAGAGTAACTGAAAGATTCCCGAGGAGCAGCTCCGGCTTTTTCTCCCCTGAAGTCACACCCCGTGTTCATCCTAGTTTTCTACAGATAAATAACTGTGTCCAAGGTGGTAAGAGAAGACTTATAGAAAGAGGCGATGTTTAACATCAAGTATTAAAATGAAACAAAATGAAAGCCGTTTTTGTTTGTAGATGAACCGAACTAAATTCTCCCATTGTGGTTCCTCCACTTTTCTCCCTTGGTCCTCCCACCAACCATTCTGGACGAAAATACCCCTCGTATGTGGTTCGTCTCTACCTGCTCCTGCCCTCTGCCCCCAAAGCAGACGCTATAAGCATGTATTTTAAATTCAGCACCTTTCCAGATTTTTCAGCTGAAGTAGCAACATCTTCCTCTTCAAATTTTGGAAGGGCATCTTAAAAAAAAAAGGACAACGCCCTTATTAGTATTTTAAAAATCCAAAACTTAAACGTGTGTGTGCAGATGCATGTAAAACCCTCTGAATCCAACCACCTTCATATCTTACATTAAGATTAAAATTAATTTTGTTTTCACTGTTTCAAGGCTAACCTCATACCGCAGTTTCTAATTTGCATTTCAATAAGGTGGTGGTGTTTGTTGCACACCAGTTATGGAAACACTGTCATTTTCTCCTTTTTATTTATTTCATTAAATATTTTTAATGAAGTAGTTGGTCTGAAGTGCCAGTTAGGAGAACACTGATTTTAGTTGCTGAAAGGATATGAAAGCTCGGCTTTCTTAAACTCAGGGCACTTTCAGAATTACTCGAAGCACCGACGTTGTCTAATGCTGACGAAATATCCCAAATGAACCAACTGAGAAGCTGGAGAAGATTAACAAAGTGACTTTTATTATGTATAAAAGAACAGTGCTCATTGGGCACATCTCCCGAAAGGAGAAAGAAACAGGCAGAATTAAAATATAGATACACGCACGCATGCACACACACACACATTTCCAGTGTACATATTCATTAAACTAATTTTCATGCAATTAACTGAGAATAGACAAGCAAGGTTACATCATGCCACACGATATAACCTGCATTCAGTATCGATACCAGTTCTGACCAACTTAGTTGTACCAACTCCTACGGTTGCTAGAATTTGCTCAGAAGATTTCTTCAAGCTCTCCAGTTCCTGCTATGGTCTGCGTAATCTGCTTGCTTCATGTTTTCCCCTTTATTAACCAAGCTCTTTACGAATTTCTGCAACAGTTTCCTGGTTCTGCTTAATCTGTATTTGGTAATCCACAGCCTTCTGGAGGGCCAAGGCACATTAATGAGGGATGAAGAACTTGTCGGCACCTGATTCGGGAACGCAGAGACATAATTTTCTTGTCATGGCCTCCTGCCTTTCAACGTGCACAGCCATGTTTCCGGAGCAGCCCCCTCCCTCTGGAACAGCGTGCCCCTCGGGGTCAGATGTGCCCTTCGGAAAAAGGGTTTAAACAGTTTTGCTTCAAAGGGCACATGGGTAGAAAGATCCCTCGAGCGTGGCCGTGTCTTTTATGAGCAGGAGCAAGTAGCTTTGTTCACTAAATGCTTTTTATTGCATTTTACGTATTGTTTTTAGGCACTGAAAACCACCGAGTGCCAGGAGGAGGAGGTGGCATATGCAAATGCAGTTGCTTGCTTTCTGTGGCATCAGCAGCAAGAGGAAAAACATATTTAGAGTTCCTCCTAGATAGACGATTTTGCAAGCCTGCTAGTCCAAGCAACCGTCCTGAACTTCCCTAAACACCCAGGAACTCCCGATCCCGATGCTTTCAAGCTCCTGACTAAAACCCGATTCTCAATAATGCTCGTGCTTGATTGGCACCAGCTGTGGCGGTGTGATTGGACTGGGAAAGGCTGGGTCCGTCCGTCTTTGCCCACTTGCAAAGGGTCCTGGCTGGGTGTCCCCGAGTGCTCCCCTCTCCTTCACCATCCCAAAAGCCTGGATCTCATCCCTTTCTCTCCCCGGTACATTTGGGGAAACCACTAAAGGCACGCGCTGGGCCACATGCCGACTGCCTGCTGCGTTGGGTGATTCAAACAGGACCAAGGAAGCATTTTTAAAGCACCAAGTCCTTCAAATCTTGTGGCAATTCGGCATCCTTGATGTTCAGAATGGTCCTCCATCTCTTCCCGTTCACTCTCCCTCCTCCTTTTTCTCAATCCTTGCATTTGCTGGGTAGTTAAGAGCACTGCCAGTTTCAATGGCTGGTGCAGAAACACCCCGTCCCTTGAACTGCAGTTCATGCTCCTGTGCGCCCAACTGGTTGGCGCACTCAGGGTTGCTGGTGTTAGGACGACCACCTCACGCTTCAGAGCATTTTGGATCTCGCTCCGATGCTTTAGAATTGGGTCCCCAGAACTCTGCTCGGAGTCTGATATTTTAAGATTTTAAAGGGTCCTTAAGACACCTTTTTTTCAGGATCTTTATGAATCTGAAAGATTCTCTTTTCAGTGGCAGGATTTGATGCCAGTTAAATTATGGCAGTCTGGGGATTAGAGAGTGTTCTGAACTGATTATTGTACCATTCAAGTTTGATATTTGTTTATACTGTGTTATCAATTTGCTTTCTCTGTACTGCGTTTAGATATAAGTGCATGCTGAGCAAAAATACATTTTTTTGACCAAAAATAGAATATGTATGGAGACATATGCAAACGAAAACAATAGCCTTATAAACAAAACAAAAAAGCCATGATCTGCATAATTAATATTACTATCTGTAACACGTTTCGTTAATAAGAGTTCTGTTCAGATACCTTTCACTTCCTCCTCTTCCAGAATAGAAACGTTTAAAGCCCCCACCCTCAGGGACAGCCTGAAGATTTATTACTTTCAGGCATAGTTACTTTCTCTCTCTGTTTAACTTCCAAGAACAACTTCCCTCATGAACGAAATCTGCTGAGTGAGAGGAGCGAAAGCATTTCAGATCAAAACTTCCACATATTACCACCGTAACATCTCGCTTAACTTAAACAAAACACTAACTTTTCTTATGTGATCCCAAATAATGGGATATTCATCCAACCAAATTTCAAGAGCCAGCACTTCCTCTGGAGTTGGGGGTCTCCTCTTCCTTGTTCTTCCTGCTTGAACCCATCATCTGTTTTCACATCCTTCCAACACCCCCATCTATTCACCAGTACGCCAAGGCCACCTATATCTCATCCTGAGTTTTGGTTTGGGAGATACTGGTGGGGGGGGGGAGATTCTGCTTGTTTGCAGCCAAATGCAAGACTGAAATATTGTTTACGAAATATGACATACATTACGCCATATTTCTGTAGCATTTCCCAAAAGCATGGCAGATTGCAAGCCCCGTTATGACCCAGTGAGGTTGGTGTGCAATATCACTAAGGTACTGCAGAGGGTGGTGGGCAGTGCCAAAGCTGAAAGAGGTTCTGCAGTCTCATCCGTCGCTTAGCGGGCACTCTTCCACTTTCAATAACCCCAAAAGCTCCTGTCTCGGCAATTCCTTTTGCGTCAGGCGAAGGGTTCCGTATGTCCTGTACCTCCAGTCCAACAGCCGGACACTGCCGGAACGAGGGGCCAGGAGGCTGCTCCGTACGTCCTTTTATGCAGACGGTACCCAGCTAAATGGGCTCTTTGGCAATCCTTTGGGTAACGCCGATCCCTTCTTTCTTTCTTTCTTTCTTTCTTTCTTTCTTTCTTTCTTTCTTTCTTTCTTTCTTTCTTTCTTTCTTTCTTTCTTTCTT